CCTTCGCCTTTAGTGTCAATGGGATAAACATCCCCTAACTAAACAGGGTCATTAAAGCCCACTTCAGCCTTTCCTAGCTGCTACTGTGTTAGAAGTTGCAGGTAAACTCTACCAGCTTGGTACTAACATGCATCCATAATCAAGTTTCTTCTGACAAAAATATTTAGTATGGGAATGAAGAGAATAGCAGTACTACTCCCAGAAGTTTATTTACTTTGCTGTGGTAAGGGAAAGGCTATCACCTTTCCCGTAATGTAAAACAAAACATGGAAGATGAAGATGCAAACAAGATGGTTTATTAAGTTTCAAAAGGGACATGATTTGCTCATAGTAACACAGCAAATTAAGCACAGAAATACTTCAACCATTTACTAGTCTTTGTTAGGATTATGTAAAATATATGTAAAACTATTCTCACTTTTTCTGCACATCAAACCTTAATTGCTAGCTTGGTAAGAACTCTTTCACATGTACTACCACATTAATCCTTACAACCGTAGGGATTTCATCTAATAAATTTCATCTAATAAATTTCATCTAATAAATTTCATCTAATTTCAAAATTCTTAAAGTGTTTTCGTAAGGAAGACAGCTTAAGTATTCAGTCCCTAAATGCTGTCTTTGGGTCACATTTCAATCTCCCACCACCACTAAAAAACAAATAAATCAATCCCTTACTTCATTTCAATATGCACTCTTTTAAAGAGTGCAAATATTGTGCCAAACTTGTAGTGGGAGTTAAAAATAACTTGATCTTAAAATTAATTTATGGAACACACTGAAGTTTCCCAAATATTGCATCATAACTGGGAGTATGATAAACATGCCTGGCTTGAAGATAATTTCTGTTTTCACGAATATAATAAATGCAAGGACAAAGTTGGGGTAGCTATATAAGGCACTGCTTTTACTAAGCACCTCTTAGCAACTCATGGCCAACCCACTATGAACCAGTTAAGGTATAAAAATTCAAGGGTTGGAACATTTCTAAAATTCAGAAACTCTCAGTTTGATCTGGAAGCTGTCCGTGCACATTTGTATTAGTTATACTACGATACAGCTTTTTGTGCTTTTTTTTTTAATGGTTCATTATAAAGAAAAGGGGGAAAAAGCTAGTACTGAAAAACTGAATTTAAGTGCATATGTATGAGTCTGTATGCCTTTTCCCCCTCAAATCCACCAGCTTTTTTCAAAAAATTTGGCCAGGGAATGGAAACCTCAAAATTCCCAGAAGCTGCATGCAAACCGAAAGGGAAAGACTCCCTCTAGGCATTCCTTTTAATCACCTGGTGGAGGGGCAAACCTCCACAAATTCCTACCTCAGGAATTAGAGTATCTGCAGGAGTGAATCCTTACACATACTCTAAACAACCACGAAACCTTGCTTCACTTGTTTTGGTCTTCACAGAGTAACAGAGTAACTTCTTCCAAGCTGTGAACAAGATTCCCAAGAACGAAAGAGTTACACTACTAGAGCTGGTTTCACAAACTTTAAAGGAACCATGGACCGATACCGCTTGCTGTTCTACTGCAATCTGTTTCACAAATTCCAGCGTGTGGCACTGATTTCACCTCAGAAGAAAAACAGAGGGGAAGAGGGGAGGAAAAGTATCTGCTATGGGCACAGGGTGACCAAAAAAAAAAAAAAAAAGCAAGCTGCAGAGAGTCCCAGCACTCTACTGCACCATCACTAAAAGACCAAGAAAGAGGGGAAACAGCATTTTCTTTAAAATACACACCCTTATGGCAGACAGACTTCCAGCAGTTCTGCTTATAAAGGAGTACTGCACCTGTTTGCCCTTCTTAGTTTCTTTTTATTAATTTACTTGTATCCTACAGGAAAAAAAAGCCATAGAATGTGTGTGACACATAGCTATGACGTATTACGCCTTTGACGTGCGTTAACTGTCGTTTCATTTATTATATTAAACTTAGCCGAAAACACAGAACTGAGCTGCATATGGGGAAGAACAGGACAGAACTGTAACTCAAACTGAATTTTTCAAGGAGTCTGGAAAACTATCAGAGGTCGCTTATGACTTAAAGAGCTCTCTTGGTTTTTAGGGATAGCATTGAATGTGAATAAATACCTTCTCCTTTTCATAATAATCACACAGTATTTAAAGATCATGTATAATCTACAGTTTAGCAAGGCTGTGGCAAACAGATTTACAAACTCCAAAAAAGGAAAGGAAAATCTAACTTGTACTTTTAATGTCTAGAGACAATGGAAATAAGGGTAAAATTTAATTCATGAGGCTTTCTCATTGTATACCAAGGAGCAACGAAAGAGCCTTAATTTATTTCTTCTTAGGGCTTAGTGAAAAGGTAAATAGACTATCCATTAGGTTTAAAATTGTATTTCACCAATTCCATTGGATATCCAAGACCTTATCATCACAATATTGGTTAAAGTATGGCAGCAGTAAATGTCACGTCTGTCAAGCTGTACTGTTCTAAGCCAACCCATACTAGATTTACTCTGAGTAAATGTCAGTGCCATTGAGAGCTCCTAGAAAAAGCAAATTTTTCTCAACAGACAAGCATTTAACAATAAATTGTCTGACTGGTACAACAGCAGCAAGCTAATGACTAGGTCTTGCTTCTTAGGATGATTTGAAAGTTGTTACATAGCTGATTGTTCATCTCAAGACAGTTTGCACACTTTGCTATACAGCTGCCTCTCCACTACTCTAGCATGACCTTTACCAAATGGCTACATACCCTGGGTTATGTGCTTCTAGGCTTTTCTAGCCACTCTGATACACTCCTTGGGCATGTAGGCTCTTTGCCATTTAGCCCAACAAGTTTAATTCCATAGAATACATTCAAGGTTTACGTAAGTCTCTGCCTTATGTTACTGCAAAGCCTCTGCCTTGCGCATACAAAGGAAGTGATCACGTTTGCCAGACATGCAGCACTATGCGGAGCTTAGAAACACAGAAAGCTAAGACGGCTCGTTCCCACTTGGATTTGTCAGGTCTTGTGGCCTTTAAGACCTGCCTCTAAGCCTCATCCTTAGAGTATTTTTCAGTCTAAATTCCTCATCACTCCAGACAAACTTGGCAGAACTTGTGCTGCTCCATTTCACTATTGACCCAAGATGCTTTCCTTTGAATGGAAACTTCTTTCAATTATTGATCTCTATTGCTCCTGGTCTGCAATATATACCAAGCAGCACTGACAGCAAATGATGGGAGGCTGCATACACTGACCTATTTAAAGTGAAAGATCTAGAAAGCAGAATTTGAAAGTATATATAGATATCTTCACAGTCATATGCTGCTTTCAGACTGCTTAGTTTGTGCAGAACTAAGCATTCATTTCAGCTAATTAAATTAAATACTCCATAGAAAAATCAAAATTATCACTTGCACAATAACCTTTTCAAGCCTCATTCTATATAGTTTTCCTGCACTGAATACTATGCAAGTTGTATAAATGGAACTGCTTTCCGTTTTATCCTCTCTTTCTTAGCTCCTGTGAGGCAAGCAGAAAATGACTGCAAAAACAGAGGAAGTAACACAAGCGAGAAACAGAACATCGGGATCGTAAGCCTTAACAGCACCCACACACTGCCACCCAGCTTCCCTACCAGGTGTTTACGAAGAATGCACATAAAGGGAAAATGCCTTCTTTCACCTATGTCTAACTTGTTCCTAAATTACACTGGTATCAGCGGAACCAAATAACTTTCATATGATTATGAACTGGTGCCAGGTAACTGTGCAGACATGGTAATATAAACAGTAAGGCTCCCCTTTGCCCCTCCTCTCCCCCCCCCCCCCCCCCGAGGCCCCTCCCCCCCCCCGCGCCCAGCCTCGGGTGGACGGAGGGAGCAGCGCCAGGGAGGGAAGCACGAAAGAGCCCAGGACCTCTCAGTGCTACCACACTAGGAACAGAACTGCAGGTAACTGACAGTATCAGAGCTGTCAGAGGTTGGGTTACAGTAAAAGTACAGCTAATGGATTAACTCCATCCTTTCTTTTTAGGAAGCATCCAACTGCAGACTACACTTCTAGGATTGGCACATTAGTTTCTATTGCTTCCATTTCCCAGGCACTCAAAGGACTAAAAAAGGAATTTCTCTCTTAAAAGATTTTTTTTCTCCCTGCGCTTTGTGACTGTGTTCTTTGAGGAAAAGAAAACTCAATATCGCTGAGGTTTAGAGGAGTGCATGCTTTGAGGAAAAGACAACTCACATCTCTGGGGTTCAGAGGACTCGCAACAAAAAGCTCCCTTTCAGGCTATTATAGCTTATTCCACCTAAGATGTTGCTTGGAAGGCTTCTTGTTAGCGCCGCCTGGCAGAGAACAGTCAAGCAGAGAAGGAATTTTACTGAGAGTTCAAACAAATTCAGTGACCTGTCTGGAAATGTGAACAGGATGTAAAAAGTGAAAACAAAGACAACTTAGGCAGGCTTAAGATAAGATTTCCTGCCATTAGGGGGAAATGTGCCAAATAATTCACATACTCCAAAAAGTAGCCTGTCATCTTATGAAATTTCAGAGCGGAAATCGCTCTTTGTTCCAGAGTTTCTTCTTCCATCTTCACTTTTTTGAGAAAACCAAATACATCATTTTGTAATCAGAACGGTGCTAGAATTCTGGCACGAACAAGTCTGGAATCTCTTTATGCTTTGCAAGTGCTGTGAAGCAGGATAACTGTCTTCTCTGCCAGGGTAACGAATACTTCCTAACAAAAACTTTCTGACTTTCTCAACTACTGTATGCACACAGACCTGAGGGGACTTAAACAGGGCCTTATCATTCAAGTTGTTCTGGCTGTAGTTGGAGGAGATGAAAAGAATTTCTGCTCTCAGCTGTTACAGTTCCCCTAAATTGAAGCGACCATTATTACAAAGCAGTTTTCCACAGCACTTTTAGAAATCCTTGGCAACCCTTCAAAGTGCCTCAGCCCTGGCCACAAAAACTTGGAAAAGGCATTAATATCTTTAACCCATACAGCTGTTTCAAACCAAATATTCCACTGCACGCAGGGACAGGCTGCTGCTTCTCTGGAAGAGCACAGATTTTACTTTCATCACAAATAAAACAGGTCCTCAGACAGTAACAACGTCATTTAGAAGAGGAAATTGATGCTTTAACCACAGTTTCTTAATCCTAGAGGATCTTTCCATACTGTATTCTTAGAGAATTGCTAAAATCTCTTGCCATTATTTCTCTAGCTTACGGATCACCTGTTCTGTACTTCCACCTCTTCAAGAAATGAGAATCAGTAGGTAAGACTTATTTTCAAGTACAATGGGACTAAAAATTGCAATAGTCACAGTATTTCTTGTCATGTTGTATACATTCTGCACATCACTGTTACTTATAATGGGAACCTAGATAGCTCACGTATATCATGAGTGTCTTCACATGCCTTTACTCTATTTAGCCTTTACAGCAAAGCCTTCTACTCTTGCAGTTTTTCCACAGCTTCTTTCATAAAGCTTGCTGCTCTGATTTTCTAATAACTCCCATGAAGACTTTTGCATTCATGCTTGCACATTCAAAAACGACAAAGATAAATTCAAAGGATTTCTTTTTTGCATTACGACTTGAAAAGATATTTTAGATAATGTCCCTGCTGATTGTCAGAAAGAACTGAAGGGGCACCCTAAGGCAAATACGATATTACCCAGGGTTTAGACCTTCTATCTTACAAGACAGAAAGATACTTTTAGAGAGGAAAATATTCTATAAATATTAGTAATACAGTGAAAGTCATGTAATCTGTAATCAGTTACCAAGAGTGCAGCAGTGTTACCAGTCTGTGAAAGGACAAAATTCAGGAGTTCAGAGACTTGGGGTGAAGGGCCCTTTTTCTTCTTCTTCCTCCTCCCCCCCCCTTTTTTTTTTTAAAGCGAGAGGGGCGCACTCCTCTAGAAGACCTAATGTTTCAGCTGCACAATGCAGTCCTAACATTTAAAGGTACTGTGTAACTGACTACACTTAACAGGTCTGAAGAGGGTAAAGGAATTTAAATACTTTACCCAAAGATGTACCTCTTAGATGTCTAACTGTAATTATTCAATACCTAAATTAGCTTCAGAAAGATTCTGAATTTGTTTTTCTTGTAGTGGAAGGCAACCAGAACCACAAGCTATAGATACAGATAGGGAAGCCAAGCAACCTGACAGATAAGATTAGAAACTAAAGAAACTAAAATCAGATGTGCTCTTTCATCTACTTACATCTTGCTGCATGAATTTTGTACAGTAAATTACTCTACTCCAAAATGAATTTGCTGTTTATTGTATTTATTACCACATGGCTCAGGCCTCCTCTTCATGCAGCAACATCCCTTTGTATTAGAAGCTGCATTTTCTCTCAACGATGTGATATATGTTTTAGTACTAGTGAAACTCTCCAAACGGACATAATTCATATTTGTCCGTGCTGTCACATTCATCTATGTTAACTAACTACCTACAGAACTTTTACAATATTAACTTGTCTTTAATGACACTATTTCCATTAATTTCCAAAGAAGTTACACTGAAACTCCAATTTAAATTGAAAGGTTCTGTTTGACTAATAAGAGATATGATTACCTAGAAAGTAGAATTAATATTGTGCCTCCTAGTATGACTTCCAGAAATATTCAGTACAAATATGAATACAGAAGCCAGTATATGAAGCTTTTTGTTTTAAACATAATTTCAAATAAATTCTTTATTTATTTATTTTTATGAGCTATGAGCAGTTTCCAGCCACACTAACCAGTTTCTCAGAGAATTATGAACCAACATATGCCAACACTTAAAATATAACCTTAGCCTGAGAAAGCTTTCCACTGGACAGCTTCCTTCCACCTACAACAAATACTCGATTTCCAATAATAATATAACCTGTTCATACAATACATTTGTGTTTGGTTAGTTTTCAAGATCCTGAAGCATTTCTTTGCTTGTATGACCTCATTCTGCATCACAGCAGAGATGAAAACGTCAGCTATCTGCTATTGTTCACTACCTCTTTTTTCTCCGTTTCCCTACGTCTTTAAAATGAATGCAATAATACAACATTAGAAGTCTAACAGTCGGTAATTGTTTGTCATTTATTATAACTCGGACCCATTCAGTTCATTAAAAAGTAAAACAAGGTAAAATAATGGAAGTAGTTCTTAAAATATATGCTTGGTAGATCTTCACCAAGTACAGTAGTCACGTACCATTATCCTAATCCCTATTAACCATCAGGAGGCTCACTAACTTAGTTAAAGTGCAAACTGCTGAGCTGAGAATTATTTGGGGATCTTAACAACAAACTATTTATTTTTTATGTGTGCATATTAAACAAAAATATTTTAGAACAAATATTTGGATGACACACACAAACAAATGTTTCCTTCTCAGAACTATAACCCTAATTTTCTTTTGTCTTCTTTACAAACTACTGTAATAAGTACATAAGACAATGACTAATTAAAAACGTTGATTAGAAAGTCTAATGTCAGATGTTAGTTTTCTTTTTATTCGGAATAAATTGACAAAACATTGCCAGATTCCTTAAAAAAAGGAGTGTCAAATTAGATTCTTTTACAGTTCTCAAGCACATTTTTTCACATGTAGGTAAAAAATGACGTAGCCCTATTCAAAGGAATAAACATAAAACTTGTCTTGGTGAACATCATCTAGCAATTATAATCATTAAATTTCCTAAGATTCCATGTAGTATTTGGTACTCAAGAGACCTTAAATTATTTTCAATACGTGTTTCTAACACTATATATAAACTTGCCAAGTGAGCTGATATTCCACGCTATTGAACATTTGAATGGAAGATGTACACAAAGGAAAAAACCAGAAACATGCAATGAAGTGTTTGCCCGTACTAAGTTAAAGATGTTCTAACAACATGGCGTACAAATGGGGTAAATGCTTTAGAAATTGTAACAAAAACAGAATTTTTCTTTGTGAATAGTGAAAGGAAGATTTTAAAAAGCAGATGACCTACCAGACAAAATGTCAAAGCTATCATACATAGTTAATAGCCTTCCATTTACGAGCCTTTCCATCAACAGAACAATTGGTTAGAATTAGCATTACCCTGAAGAATAACCATCTCCAGAAAAAAGAGCCTCTGTTTTTCAGTCTTTGACAACTGATGGTAAGTTAGAAAAATAAATCTACTGAAGCAGGTAGGAATACTACTCACGTGAAGAGGTGTTACTTACAATGAAAATTATGGAACAGCTGTGTCTACAGCTATATGTTTTATATATACATGCACACATGAATATATAAAAACGAACTCCGCAAAATAAACATTTTCCAAAAGAAAAGACTTTACTAAAATTTTTCTGAGCAGTCCTAGGCACAAGGATTTATTTTTCCGACACAAAGTAAGGTTCCCTAGTCAGATAATCCTTGTTCCTCTTTGCTTTACTATCCTTTATGTTATTAGATATAAAACTAACATATAGAGCTAGTTTGCAGAGAAGAGACATCTTCAATTCACATGAGCAGATGGATCATACCTGGCAGTATATGTGTTTTTTCTACACTGATTTTTAAATACAAGTTCAGACTTAAATTCTGATTTTCAAAGATCCAAGCTATTAAATACATACAGCAATCAATTACAGATGAAGATGCCTGCGCTGCTTCATACTATATCAAAAATTGAAATTCTCAGTGAATAGAAACCTGTCATGGTAACCATATCTGCAGAAGTTCAATTGAAGTGCCCCAGGACATGTTAGACACTGTGAGCACGACGTTTACTCCTTAGAGTATACTGTCTTGCCTTGTGCTACATGAAAGACAAGGTGAGTTTCAAGTACAGCATAACATGTTCTTGATTTAGAAATGGTTACTGAAATCCTGACTAAGCACATGAGTCATAAATAATAATTCTATTAGGTTACCAGTAAGTGATTCTTCCTATTCTGCTGGTTTTTAAGCAAATTCAGAGGCATCAGGGAGTCAAGCTTTTACATTCAGTAAACCTCAGATTTTTTTGTAATCTTACTTATTTCTAGGCAGATGATCACATAGCCTTGCTAGGAAGTGACACTCCCTTCTCTGAAATGGCCAGTTACAGTAATTAAGTAGAGAGCGCTAATTGCCTGTTTTAGCTCAAATTGCCCATCTTCAATGAGGGCCTTAATTCCAACTGCCATGGCTCTTGGCCTGGACACTCAAACCTACAGCCCATCTTACGGGTTTTTTCCCCCTCATCTTTGCTCAAAATAATAGTCTGAAAATCTGCTGTGATTGACTTTTAATCATTTTCAGTTCTCTCTTCCTGCAACCATGACCAGTTCTTCTACACAGACTAAAGATATTTGCTTCCATCTTGTGCTATCTGTAACTTGTTTTGCTTGCTATGGACTCATCCTTTAATACCAAAATCGCATCTACTGTGAGAGATGGGAGAAGTTGAGCTCTGAACAGGATTGCTCAGATATCGGATCTCTGGTTCTAGCTCTATGCTACGGCCAGAATGCGTCTCCTGTGACCTGATGGCTCTCCGGCAGCAGGGAAGGCAAAACAGCAGGCCCAGACATTCTGGGAATTGTGAGAGCATACAGCAACAGGAGCATACAGGGGTCCCACAGCAATGTCAACGCCTTCTTTAGCTTCCATGACCTGCACTGGCAGGTGCGTGGGTGCGTGCATGTGTGTGTATGAAAAACCTTGTTCTGCTTCAGGGTCCCCACTGGTAGAGGATGACACCTTGGAGCATAGCAGGAGCCATGTTATTGCCATCAAGATCATGGAGATCCAGACCTGTGTGCTCTAAGAGACATTATGGATGCCTGCCTCAGGTCGCTGGCTGTCTGGAACTCCTGTCGATGCAGCCTGCTCGCACTGCTCTTGATACTAATTTCACATGCTTTCTGAGAAACGTTTCATCATCCTGTCTTTTGGGCGGTTGTTAATGTTAGAATCACAATTCACGTCGATAGTATACCCGCTATATAGGTGCGTAGAGAATGACAGTTACTTATATTAATTCACTGCTAGATATTTTAGAACATAAACTTTGGTTTAGTCCAAATTGTTTAGTGCCAAACTTTCAAGGCAATGCAAGCCTTTTCTATCTCCTTCCCTTAACACACATTTCAGTAATTAGATAAAAGAGAAATGACTGCTTTGCTATGAAACAAAATACAAGAGCCCCTAGCCTTATTTCTGTGGTTTCAAAACAGACTTCAAGAAAGTGTTTTATGTTAACTGTATGAAAATATTATGAGATCATAAGAACATGTATAAAGAAAATACATTAATGTGCAAAGCCTTAGAATTTTATCAATTATCAATGCATGATACCAACAATAACAATAGGCAGTTTTCACCAAGAGCAATTTTGATTTAATTTAATTATACTCTATTATACTTCAGAGACTCAAGACCCTTCTGTGCCCCTGCATGCAGTGAGTGCTGTGGCAGACTCAATACGTGCTCTGCTATCTTTCTGTTCTCATTAGAAAACTTGTCCACCTTACCAAAGGGGTAGCTGCTGCTCGTGAAAGCAAAGTGGGTAACAGTGGTCCCTGATGTTCTGGAAAGGAGAAGAGGTGATAACTATAGAGATGGAAAAAGCCAGGTCCTTAGTGCTTTCCATATTTGTGTCTCTGTTGCTATTGGGTCTTTGTTAAGGACACAGAGGCTTCAGAGATCATATTTAAAAATCACACTTATGATCTATTATTGCAAAGAGATTAACTGCTCAGTTTTCCCAAAGCCATTCTTTCCTTAGCACTGTAACTTAATGAGTATTTTATCATAGCTCTCATAGCTCATTTGCAGCACAAGAGAAAAGGGGACGAGTGTTTAATTACACTAAGCATTTTAAGTTAAATATTCAAGTATAACTCCGGCATTAAACACAATCTTCACTCCATTCAGAATGGAAATTAAAGGACACATGGTAACTCGTTTAAATTTCACCATTATTTTCAGAGTTGTCTGTGGATATATTGTGACTTCAGGCAAAGGTGTAGACCTTTTTCCCAGAAAAGGTCATATCATATAAATATATATACAGAGAAAGAGAGAGAGAGAGAGAGAGAGAGAGAGAGAAATAAAAAAGAGCAAAAAAACCCCACCTGAGATCCCTTTTATTTCTTTGTATATCACTATTCTAAAGCAGGTCTGAAGTGAGAGAGGAAGCTAACCAAGGTTTCAGAACTCCAGTGGAGATATCTTCCAGGTAATCTGACCTCTTTCTTCACAGTAATAACTCCAAAAAAAAAAAATTTAAGAGTTCAGATATGCCCTTGATTTGTTTTAAAGGGCATGTTTTGCTTTTGAAAACAACATCAGTTTAGATAACTCCTAAAGCTTTCTGCAGTGACAACATTCAAGAAAAAAATGTCAGGAATTTTGTATCTATCGCCTTAACTCTAAGCTTCCCTGGCTGTTTTAAGAATCCTTCTTTAATTACACTGCACATCTGAAATCAAAGCTGGATGACTGACAGAATCTAAAGGTCCCTCACCCTTTGTACTACTGTTCAGAAAAAAGAGAAAGCAAATACTTTTAACTATGATATGAAGCAGACTTTTTATTTTTCGCCTGTTAAATCTATCGGGGGGGGGCAGGGAGAAACACAAAGGAAAAAAGATCCCACCTCTCATTCAAATCTCGTTCATAGTTTTTACAGCCTGACATACTCTTACCAAAAGTGACTTTTCAGAAGGATATGTTAATCTTCAATATGTAGGGCACTGGGGCAGAATTTTTCTGTCCTTTAACTTATCTTATACAACTTTCTAACCATACATATATGGAACAAGGAATTCCGATGATGATACTATAACCCCACCAAAGCTAAAGATTATAAAATGATACACTACATTCCTTTGGTGCCTCTAACTAAACCTAACTAAAGGAGTCATCTGGACTCCTTTTATCAACCCCAAAGACAGCCAGACCGGGGTGGGGAATGGGGGGCGTTGCTCGAACTCTACAAAATGTCTTTGTTATGACAATAGCTTTTAGAATTCTGTGTTGAAAAAAAATTTCAATCTTCACACACCTAACCTCTACACATTGTATTCCAGCCATTTCCTATTTGAAAGGATGCATGTTTCCAGCCACAGATGCAAAACCTTTTTCTCAGACTCAGGAGTCATCTAGACAACTACTTTATTTACACGTTGTGTGGTCAGTGGGTGATAGCTTAGAACAATCAAAGTACTCTATAAAATACTCATTCAGATGACAGAGATTCATATTCTGCATATATATATAAACTTTTACCTTAAAGATAGGGCATCCTGAGACTTAGTTATGAAAAAGAATTACACACCTAGCTGGTCACTGTTCTAAGAATATGATAGAAAAGAAAAATTTCATTTCAGTGCTGTGTGTTCTCAAATAAAAACAAACATATATAAAGGAATGTTTAGGAGTAAAATGACTGAAGCATGGGAAAGTCCAAAGTTCGCTTATAGGTAAAGAGATTACCAAGATGAATGTATGATGACCCCTAACGCACGTGTGCCTGAATCAGGGATGAGGACACTGGAATGGAAGATAAGCATGCCTATCTTAAACCCAATACAAGAAAATGTATTTATACATTTAAAGGTGATGTGAATGATAGAAGATGCAAACTCTACTATTTCTTCTGGAAGATCGTTTACCCACTCTTTACTACTTCCAACTGCACCAAAATCAGCAGCCCACCCCTATTTTTCTTTCTCAGCTACGTCCTTTGTTTTTCTGTGTAAATCCCTTTCGCCATCACACCACTGTTCACATGCTTGAAGAGGTATTTTAAGAAAACAACAAATGCTAACTGCTACTTCCTTGCTACAGAGAACAAAGACAGTTGCTATGTTTCAATATATTTAAATGCCTCAAATTAGAAAAAGTTAATAGGCTGAGGAAACGGGAAGAATGTCAAGTAGCTTATGTGCTAGAAATTGACCTGAGCAATGGGTGTAATGCTAGCTTGGCTAGTAAAGTATAGGCCACTGTGCTTTCTGATGCATTTTTTTAACCATTCTTCAATTTTACTATGGGAACACAGGTAGCGCACTGTACTCCTTGATGCTAATTGTTCATGTAAATTAACACTTCAATTATTTCAGCATTATCCAAACATCAGAATATCCACGTTCTAAAAACGATTTTCCCTCTTTCATTCTTGATACAGTTGTAACCAGTTAAGCCGGGACCTAAACGCCTGCCCATCTGAAGGATGTCTGCGCTGATAAGATAAAGCCAACAGCTCTGCAGCATAATAAAGTTTCAATTTATTCACCTGCCTCAGTGATATACACGAAAATGCCTTATTCTAGTAACAATCCTGAAAATGACAACTTTTAAAACTGGCCTAATCTTAGAGAAACGTGCTTCTCCATGGAAAAGATTTCTCTACTCCACAACAGAAGTTCTGGTCAAACTAAGAATAAAAATCATTCACCTGCCCATTCATTTATCTCAGATAGTTTCATATCTTTGCTTTTGGCCTGCCAAGCCATGAAACTCTGCTTCCACGTTCCAAATAGCTACTCTAACTAGTCACTTCTTTGTGCTGCTTCTTTATCTTTCTTGATCTAAGTCTCTCACACTATAAAAACAACAAAATCATCACTGGAGGGATATCCAAACCAGCAATGAGATTGGCAAAAAACTGTTATTTTAATCCTCCCTAGAAAAAACAAACAAACAAACAAAAACAAATTCAACAAATTAACCAGTCAATAAATAAAAAACTGAAAAGATTACTATTTCACAATTCAGAAAACAGATTCTCCTGAAATTTTCAGCATTACTCATAAAACGGAACGCTTACTCCAGACTTAAGAATGATAATTTTTTTTGTGATCATCAAGTAGGTGCAGTGCATAGGTATATTCAGCAGCTGTAGCACTCAGACACCTACATAACTGCTAACTCCAAAAAAAAAGTCCTATCTATCTATTTTGCGTGATCACTAGGCACATCCCTTTCCACACTGCGGTTACTAGGAGCCTAGAGTCCCCAGTACTACTCTGAATCTGTTGGCCTGATGCCTATGCTCTAACTAGAGATAACTGCTATTAGAACTGGAACCCCAGAAACACAAATATCCTTTTAGGCAGGAAAAAAAGGCTGTGGTCTATTGGGTTACACTGACAAGAGAACATGGATTTTTTCCTTCTTCTCACAGAAGCATTTCAGTATACACATTCAGCCACCACAGGGTAAAACATCAAAGTAAATGAGAATCAAGAGAAGATATAATTATGGCCTACAGACACAGCAGGTAATTCATAAATACTCAAGCATGAGAAGAGCTACCTCAGCTAAAGGACAATGCTGCCATAAGAGCCGAGGACTGTGAACTGACTAAATAACTTTAGTCAAAAAAATTAGAAGATAATTTCTAACCATTAAGTTTCAGGAACAACTTACTAATGCAAGCAAAAAAAGCCCTTGAGGTTTTAAGAGAGATCTCAATGAATTCAGAATTTAACAACATATGATGTGCTAACAGTCATCACAGACGACTGGAAACAATGGTCCAAGAGGTACCTAAACACTTATCAATTAACTAATCCATATAAGATGTCTCTAATGAACTACTGATGGAATATATAATAGAAATGCTATAACTCTATTAGAATAAGAAATCTCAAAATCAGATGTGGAGAACACAGTAATTACTAAAAATGAGAGTGTTCTTTCACATAACCTACAAGCAATCCCTTGGAAGTGGCTCATGGCTAAAGCTTCTCAGAAAGCATTAGAAAAATGAATAAACCCTTAAAATGCAAAGCAAGCTGTACAATGCTATACATGGTAGAAAAATATCTTTCCTGACTCATTTGTATTGTTATACATAGAGATGTTAGTAATAGGTGATGATAAAATTGTCCAAAACTGTTAGAATTTAGCCACAAAAACTTTAATAAGTAATCTATTATATCAGAGGCTAAACCACACATTTGCTGCCAGATCTCACTATGTTCTGCAAAATTATTTTAGCCACTCATCAAGGTGGTATCTGCTGTAATTTCATCTTTCCCAAAGCACTATAGAGAGCAAAATTTCTCAGGTGGAATTTAAAGAAGGACCTTGATATTGCCCCCAAGCAAAAGGGGGCAAACAAACAAATGTTGTCATAAAAATCCATCTCTTTCCTCATATGTCCATAAATAGGGAACTTCTCCTGCCCCAAGATGCATCTTCAGAAACATTAAGTCAATCCATGTATCATCTGTAAAGCAGTATGCTCTCCTTCTGCATTATAAATAAATAATTTCCACTGTCTCACGGTCACATCTTTTGAACTACTTCATTAGCAAAGGCAGTGTCCTTCTCAGCAGGCCACGCTAGCAGAAATCGTGTCCTGAAAGTCCTGTTTTACGTTTGCTGATTCTTCCTTTTATTGACACAGAATTCATAAATAACACAAGTACATAAATAACACTTTGCCTTCCTTCTCATTTGACGTTGTATTTGCACCACTTGCAAACTACTAGATTCTGTTTCCTTGGAGCCAAAAAATGAAGCCTTTGCCCTACAGGTTCGGAGTTTTTATACTGCTAAGGCTCTGAGGATCTTTTATTTTTATTCCGTTATTTACTGGGTTTGTCATTTCCAACAGGAACATGACTTTATTCTCTAATCCAACTAGTAAATGTGTTAATTTAAAAACCGTCACTGGTAAAAAGAAACATTGTATGTATGGACATTTCTAGTGATCCACTTAACACAGCCCAACTGAAAAACAGTATGAGGATAAATCCGTTTGCAAATAAACAAAACAAATATCATTTGGCCAAGGATCAGTGCCATATCAGATGGCAAAAGAGACAGAAGTTTAATTAGCTGCTTGGATTTACATGTAAATTAGCTGCTTGGATTTAAATGTAAATTCCCGTTACTTTCCCTTTCTAGTCCAAAAACAAGTTCAACCTATTTCCCAACACAGATTTCCTGAAAGAACAGAAAGGTATTCAAAGAACTGATGCTCCTCTGCAAACTCTCGCCCATCAGAGAGAACGGCATTGCACACTGTATTTTAATTGTTTAGCAGAAAGCTCTTTGTCTAAGTCTGAAATCCAAAACACTCTTATCCAGCAATACGTTAATGAGTTCTGATAATTAAGGACTAACATACGTTTGGCAGTGAAAGATTCATATCTGGATTGAATTCGTATCCACTGCTGCTGCTCTTATTTCAAAATCCATCAACATTCTCAAGTACTGGAAAGGGTAGTAACACCAGAAAAGCATACCAATGCAAAGCAATAATTAAAACAGAGGTGGTTCCCAGTGTGTTTTAGACAGCTTCCTGTGCAGTTCTGACTTTATTTTTTTCTAAAGCTGGAGTATTTCTAATATTCCCTGCTGGAAATCATTTATCACTTTAATGAACATATTCAAGGAAGGCTAACCATAGGGGTGGAGAAGGGATAGCATTCCTTTGTTACTCACACAGTATAACTACCCATCTTTCAGTAAATCTGACAGACTCCAAACATTAAATTAACTGAAATGAAAACCTCATTTTGATCTGTGCTTCCCCATACATATCAAACAGCCTGTGAAATGCCTTAGATTTTATGTCCAAATCCATTAAACACACTGGGAAAAAAAGTAAAGAAAACGCATAGCTGAATATGTGTTCACAGAAACCTTCCATACTTGTGTTAACTTCATAGCTGAATTGATTCATAGGGAGCGAAGCACAGCGCTGAGCATACTAAATAGTACAGCATGGCATAAATGGAAATGGAATGGCAAACTAAGCGAAATATGAATATTCAAAAGAACCATGCAAACTATTTTTATATCTAGCTCTTGGTATACATGTAGGCACATAGGTATAGGCCAATCAGCGAAGACCCCTCATGGGAAGTCAACAGATATTTAAAAGAACGATGTTTCAGCGCTGAGAAAAAGGGAACATTTACTTGATGAAGCTGTGTTTTGTAAGCGGTTGTGTAAACATATGTCATAGGCAGAAACACATGGAGTATATCATTAAACATTCAAATACTGCAGCTCGGTAATATGTAACACATTAACAAGCTTCAGCTTCAAACACAGAAGCTTAATTTGCTCTCTCCTGATAAAGCACTATACACAACTATCTAAAAGTCAGTAGGAGGAGGTTAATGGCAGTGAACTAGAATAAAACTAAATGTCACTACATCTCGCTTTTCTGTAAAACCTTCTAAGCAGATAAGACATGTTCAGAAAGCTGTAAAATGTGCCCTTTGCTTACAAGAAAAAGGTCAGTTCTGTGCTAACAAATTGTAATAGGTTAGTCATAAATGATCATATCAGCAGCTGAAATATGGTACCTTACACATAATTTAAATATTGTTACAACTACTTGAGTCACAGAGAGGCCCTATTTGCATAGGGCAAACTCCTGCACACATTACAATGATGCAATTCATGAAAATATGAACACAACAAAACCAAGAAAAAGAAAAAATCACCAACTTCACAACACTGAAACTTGTCCAAATAACCAACTGTACTGTTGCCTTTGGCATTAAAGACTGGTAGGAGAAATGCTTAACATATTTGGTATAGTGATTCTCTCCTCCTTTAAGAGACCAGCTTCACAGAACAATCAATTCTACTGGTTTTCAAAGTAATGATCGAGAACAGGTTCTGTAGCTCCTCGCATACGTCACCCCGTAAGTGATATATTCAGTTCACTTTGCATAATTCCTGGAATGTATTTTTTTTTTTTTTTACAGAGGAATATAGAATGCACAGCAGTAGAATAATACCTCCCTTTTCTGCCTCACTAGAAAAATAAGCAACATAGCGCCAAGAGTGGGTAGCAAAAATACAGTACCGGAAATGCAATACTGGGATATTTCTGTTATGTCAAAGAAAAACAGTTCTTGTCATTAGGTCAACATGAGGTTTTTGCTACGCACCTATCATTTTACTTACTACTTCTGCGATCCAAAGTGTTACTATCCAAAAAAGCTTTCATCAGTTGCATGCTTTAGTATTTCTTCCTGTTCTCATGTCAATAGTTCTGTTGTGCATCCTGCTGTGTCCTAAACAGCATCTGTTCCATCCTAAGAACGTTCAAGTTTTTGGGTGAAGCCAGTCTCTGCTAAGGAAACTGTAAGACCTTAGCCCCCGCCTGCTGTAAAGTGCCAAGGTTAATATACAGTTCAGGATATTCTTAGGGCTATTTCACAATGATTTCTTACATTGATATAGCACATAACGTAGCCATTAGTAAAAGTCTTAATTATCGATACTGCATTCATATACAATCACTGACAAGTCTGTACTTTAG